GAATGATGGAGGATTTGACTCGGAATCCTCCTTATCGATGGCGTAGATGGTGCTCGAAGCGCACAAGATGTTGTTTCCAGCGACGGCGATTCTCCGTATCGTTGATTCTGGAAGCGTAATAGTCCTGTGTGATCACCATCAGACACAATTTTCTTGTGTACCGCCGCCAATTGACCCATTGCTTCCTTGGGGAGCAAGAAAACCCACCTCAATGCCGTCTTCTTCGCCAAATCCCACTCCACGAGCTTCCCATCAACTCCAGCGCTCCAACCTCTCCCCTCCTTATCCGCAATAAAAGCCACAACCTCGCCCACATGGGAGCCCTCCAACACACCCTCAACCGCACCTTCCGCAGCACCATACAGCACCACAGTTCCCTTATTCGTCGTCACCGCCACTACAGCATTCTTAACCTCCTCTTCCTCCTCTTTTCTCCTCCTCTTCTTCGAGCTCTTCCGGTCCTGCGCTGGCAGCGCCACCCACGAAACCGAATTTACCCTCACGCCAGCCTCGAAAACATGTTCACTTTTCAGACGGCCGGTGTTTGTATCATGGATCCTGAGGCGGTATGCATCGAGGCCGAGAACCACTGACGCAAACAGCGAGAGGTGAAACGAGGGTGGCGAGAAGGCACTTGCGGTAAGAGCGGCGGTTTGCGATGGCGCAGTGGTGAGTTTTGTGTTTGAAGGAGCGGCTTTCGCGGGCTTTGAAACGGCCTTTTTGGCGACCATTTGTGGGTTTGAGGGCAGAATTAGCCCTGGAGAAGTGGAAGATAAGTAGGCGATCGGATTAAATGTGCTGGCCGCGCAGGAGGAGGTGGAGAGAAGGTGGGGTGGGTATATGTTGGTCACTACGGGAGCGCAGGTCGGTTTGGCCTGTCGAGTGGGACGCAAAAAAATGTTCTTGGGAAAAGTGAAAGCCGGGTAGCGCCGTCACGTGTGCTTGGCTGCAGTTGGTGTCCGAATAGATCAACACGCAAACGATGGATGGAAACTTTATCAGGCACTGGTATGAGATCGCAAAGAAGCGATATACTCCAGATTCACCATCGTTCAATGCTCTCGACTCTCACGCCAGCCCGTGATCGTGGTTTCGCACAGACGTCACTGGCTGCCCATGCGCAACACACACTGCAGACGGAGATCTGCGCACAACGAGTGACCGCCGACGTCAACACCTCCGAACCACACCTCCAACCTCACCACCTCCACCCAATGTCTTCTTCCGCGACCATAACGGCCAATCACTCAGCCGCAACCTCCTCACTCCTCACTACACACGCCTCGACCCTATCGTACTACAAGAGTGCCCTCTTCACTGCCCAATCCCGCATCGCCGCCCTCGAATCCTCCCTCAACACCCTCAAATCCCAACTCGCCTCCTCACGCACAGAATGCGAGTTCTACGTTAAGCGAGTATGTGACTTGGACCGTGACTCTCGAATACATGCATTGGAGCTTGATGCCACGAATCGTGCGAAGGGAGACTTGGAGAAGGAGGTTGGGAGACTGCGGGGGGAGGTGGAGAAGCTGAGGGTTGCAAGGAGGGTCGTTGGAGGGGAGAAAAGAAAGACCGGCAGGGGGCCTAGAAACTTGGATGCGGGGGTTCAGACCGATACGGAGGATGAGAACGAGGACAACGATGCGTGTGAGTGCACTCGGCGGAGAGCGGCACTAAGAGAAGCGAAGAGCCGGCGACAGAAGAGCTTCAGTAACATAAGGCCCCCAATTGAGGAGAGCGGAGGAAAAGGCGGAGGAAGACCTGCGCACCCGGCTCTTGCACCACGTCGTGTTCGATTTGTCGACGACCCATCCAGCGACAAAGGAAAATCCGTTGCGCGCCCTGTTTCCGCTCCTCCACCACTAAGCGATTCAGCGATCAGACAAGGTTGGGAAGAAATGGAGGATGATGCAGATCTTTACGATGTATCAATATCGGATGTAAGAAGGGCTTTAAGGGCGCATCAGCCGAACAGGGTAGGTGACGGGCGACGTGAGCGAATGCAACAGATGCGAGACAATCTGCGGGCAGCAAGAGAGCGGTTGGAGAGGAAGGATGTCGTTGAAAGATTGCGAGAAGATTACATTGATCCACCTGATGATGGGGATCGATGATAAGGCACGTCAGAAGATGACTTTTGGGCTGGAGTTTGGTGTTTCCTGTTTTATGAGCGTGTATGCGTGTTATGGCAACGTTGGCGTTTGGCATCCTTTTTATCAGAATACCCTTAGAAGCTGGTGTACTAATATTATTCATCAGTGGTATACACCAGATTGACTACAATATTTTCAGAGTCTTTTCCGCCAAAATAGTATTTGACCATATCGCTTTATACCTCTTGATGCCGACACACCGTCCTCCGCTAACGATGAATCTACTCTGAACGACGGACCTGTCCCGCTTTTGATATCAAAAGAACAAATGCGGTAGCCACTAGAGATTCAGCATGGAGAAAGCATCATCCCATTTGCTTGGTCTGGGTTTCCATTCCCTGGGGAAAGCTAAAGTTGTGATCCTCCTTTTCACCATCTTGCCAGCCAACTTATCCTCAAGCCCTCTCTCTCCGGCGACATTCCCGAAGTACATGGTTCCCTTCAACGCCCTCTTCAGTCAGTTATCTTGCTGGTTATCGATCTCTCTAGGGTCATTCTCCCTTCTAGTGCCTTCCACACCCCACCACAAACAGTCTCGTTTTAACATCAAACTCAAAGTATCCCCCACCTCCGATCTATCCTCCTCACCAACAACCCCCACCACCACACAACTCCTCTTCACCATGTCCACAACCACCACCGCCACCTCCACATCACAGCCTCCAGCCCTCGCCATCCCCGTAAGATTCACAACGTTCTAACTCCTCTTTGGCCTTTCGACTGGTGCCGTCATTGCGATTGTGGTGTTCCTGTTGCTCCGGATGGCGTATTTTATCAGGGCTGGCAATCCGCCGGCTAGGCACGGGTGGAGGTATCATTCGTGGTTTTGGAATATATGGATGAGTAGGGAGTTTAGGATTTTTGGCGGTGGTGGAAGGGTGGTGAGGAGACAACAGGAGGAAGAGGGGATTGAGTTGCGTGGGATGAGAGCGGGCGGGAGGACTATGAGAAGGGAGGAGGAGGATGGGGAGGAGGATGGGGTTGTGGATGGGGTTGAGTTGCATGAGATGGGAGGTAGCGAGAGGGGACAAGAGGAAAGGGGGTGAGGTTAACACAGATTCAACCCATGCTACAATCAGCATGAAAGTAACCTTTATATTCGACAACCTGGCTTACATAAAATCGTCCCAATATTCTGCGTTCTTGTGTTCGTTTGAGTTCTCCTCAAGTGCATCTTCCGTGAAAATGTCGTCATACATATGTTCCTTTTGATATGCCTTCTCTTTTCGCTCCTTTGCAACCTTGGCCTCCTCCTTTTTCTATACCCAAAGTCAGTCCTATCTTTCACACTGAAACCACGATCTGAAAACTTACCCGCGCCAACACAATCTTTCTCTGCGCCTCCCTCTTCTCCTTCTCCCTCATCTCCCTCTCCATCGCCAAATCCGGAAACTTCTCTTCTTTTGTCTTGTTCAACCTATTCACAATCGGATTCTCCCGTTTTTCAACCATAACCCTTTTCACCTTCTTGGGATCCTTAAACCCGACCTGTCCAACAGCCATACTCCCATCCTTCTTAAGATTCGACCATGGGGTATAGACGATGGAGATGTTATCTTTTTTGTTGCCTTCGATCGAGTTGGCTTTCGTTAATTGCGCACAGTCGGTGAGGAGCTCAGTGGGGATCGTGTTGATATCGTAGGCAGGTGCGGAGGTGGGGTCATCGGAGGAGGTGGGGATACGGAGGTAGATATGGGCGGAGGAGAGTTTGTCGACGTGGAACTGATTTGTGTCAGTTACAAATCATGACCGTGGACTAGGACGAAATTCGCGACATACCCTACGACAGCCACACCCGTCAGCGTCCTGTTGTTTACTCCGGCGATGAGATGCGCTCTACTGACCAGATATCCTCCTCCCATCCGTGCTTGATCAATTCCTCATCTAACCGGCCTCGTCAGTTTCCAGGCCTGATCTACCGGAAACTTCTGCGAATACTCTCGACTTTGTCTTTGCCCACGTATATGAATGCTGGTGGGTCGACGGTGTTAGATTTGAAGTAGTAGACCATGGTGGCGGAGGTTGAGAAGGTCGTGGGTGGGTTCTTGAAGGGAGTTGGGGTTAGGTGGAGGTGTGAGTGAAGGAGAAGGTTGTGCGTGGGCGCGTGGTTGGAGACGCGATGGTGGGGACCTGTGTGGTGACATGGTGGGGCTGTTGGACAAAGCTTTGTCCACCAACCATCACCATCATCGATCATTATGATATTACTACAAACTAGACAAACAACTCCATCCTCCATGCCTCGCATAGCCTCATGACTTTTGGCCCTTCTCCTCCCTCTCATCCAAAATCCTCGCCCCCTCCATCGCTGCCTTCCACCGTTTCGAAATCTCTACACATCCATCCCACATTAACCAACCTCTCCACGACCAAATCATCCCAGACTGCACCTACCTGCAAGAGAATCATAATTCCCCGCGGCTGTCTCCACGTCTTTCTGAACCTCTTGCACAAGCTGCTTCATGCTCTCCAGGGATGCGCGAAGGATCCGGAGAGTTTCAAGCTCCTGGTGAGTGCGTGCGTTAGCCATTGATGGTCCAATTTGCATCATATGAATCTTCGGGGGGTTGTATAGTACTTCTTTTAAAAAATCATCACCGCTCTCGATTGGCGCAGCGGATGAGGTCATTGTAGTGCTTTCCTCGACTTCAAGACCCTTTGGAGGTACGTGTGTATTGAATGCCAGTAGTTGGTACGGTGGAGACAAGTCTTGAGTGACTGGCACTGATGTGATGAAGTTCGATAATGATGGACGCGTAACGCGTGTCGTGCTGGTGGGTCATGTCACCTCAGTTCCACAAAATCGTGCGCATATAACCACGACCCATCTTCCTCTTGTTGCCCAATTCTTTTGTGGCGTAACGGCATCGCACCTCACCCCTCCAACATATTCTTAGAGGAGATTCCCGGTTCAATCCGGGCAGAGGGTCTTTCTTTTTTTATTGGTGTGCACACTGACCAGCCGCTGGTGCCAGCGTGGAGGAATCTGATTGGGTTCATGAATTATTACTCATGTGCCATCAGTGCAACACCAATGCTGCACCCATTGCTGCATTGACTGTGGCCAAACCACGAATTGACTACCCATCGGAATTACCATTAGTTCATTGCGGATTGCTTGGTTCCCATACCGTCAAGTAGCAGTGCATTACTGTGCCTCACCTCATTTGCCCATTCAATTATGGTATACACTCAGCGCGGCTGAATTGGATCCGCGACCCCGAATGTTCATGGTAGGCGTTCGTTTGGTTGGGTGTTGGTGTGGTGATGGAGCGCGTTGGTTACTACATTAGCCATCACTATTCCAGAGTCGTTTGTTAGAATGAGTTCCCAATAGAGCATTGACAACCAGCATCAACTAACCCACCAGCACTAGGCATACGACAACAGAGTACAATTAGCAGGTAACTTGGATATATCTTCAAACCCGGTACACGAGATTTTGCCACATCCCTCGCCCCAACGTCCAGCGAACTTGAAGCCTCAAAGTCAGGTCATCGTAAGCTTTCTTCTCATCTTCTAGGAGCCATCGATATTACACCTTTTCCCCAACGGCAAAACATGATACCAAATGTGTCAAACTCCGATGTGGGTAAACCCCTCAAAGTTTGATTTCTTTCCTTGTAACCCCACCTCAGACCCCAACGCGGCAACTTTCGCGATGTCGCGAATAGAACATCCTTATCATAACTCATTTGCCTTAGAACAAAGCCCAGGGGCCTTCTTTGTTGCCATCCTCATCCTCATCCAAGCGTCTAAATCTTTTGCTTTTGCAAGTCCTTGTCAACCGTCAACACGTCTCCATCCAGGGTTACCACCAAACGATGACACGTCTTTGTCTTCTTCCGGAGAAAGAATAAGCCCAACGGTTCCTCCCAAACCAAAACACGCAGAGGGTGATTGATTGCACATTCCGATAATCCGCACACCGCCAAGAGGACGATGCCCAGCTCATCTGCACAAAGGCGGCGGAAGAAAAGGTGCATTGACTACGGCGAGGACGAAGAACCCAGGAGTTGGAGCATAGGATTTTTCGATCGTGGAAAATTATCCCATGAGTTGGGTATCTGTTTAGCATGTTCCGGAGGCTGTAGAACAATGGGAGGAGGAACTCGCTCCAGGACATGATGTGCTGGGTACCCAACTTCAACGGAGTCCATGATTTCCCCCTCCACAGAGTGACTAGGGATTCAGGGCTTTTGGTCGGTCCCGAGAGGAGTAGTTCCACTCTGTGTCCGCATCTTCTTGAAGACCTACCGCTTGATGTTTACCACATATTGAGGAGTCTCCATTGTTTCCCTCCTCTAATCGAGCGCAAAACCATCCCTCCCATCCTTCGAATCGGAATGTGTTGACCCGGCCGCATTCAAAAATGAGACAACCCATCTCAATTCCTCATGGTGGGGATTCTTCCCACTCTTTCTCCATAATCGTGTCCCAATGCCATCCCACAACCCCCCACAAGAAACAATGGATGAACGACGATGGTACCACACCACCTCGTTGCGCCCCCTCCAGCTGCAATCTGTTCAACCCAGAGCCGTCATGGCATGTCGGCGAGTACACACTACTGGTACCCTCCATCCCAGCTGGGGAAAGGAGAAAAAGATATGCCCCTATCTCCTACTAGGGCATACTTCCTCCGCAGTCTTTGCTTCCCCACCCTCCCGATTGCTAATTTCGTTACCCTCTAGATTTCCTCTCGACTTTTTTGCTGATTCACGGGAATAATACCGCACCTTGCCCTCCACCGAAATACGGAATAGTCGTCGCCCTCACGGTGAGGAATGAGCCGAACCCAGAGAGAGAGTATGATTTCTGGGTGTGAAGAGAAATTGCCAGTAGGTCTGGTTAATGATGTATCGACCTCGCTGTCGGTGTCGATGTGGTTCAATTTCATCGCTGGTTAATCATTCGCTCAGTCGTTCAGGGTGAAAGCTTGGGTTCCAGCAGACCCGGAGTGGCCCTGACGAAGCCCGCGATCTAGGGGCCTCGATGACTCGGACATGGCGCCTCGATACGGGACGAATATTCCTGTTTGAGCCCGACCCCAAGCCACAGATGTCGTGAAAAGCTATAAAGAGTCCATTAACACATATCCAACGCTGTTTTCTCCGTCTCTCGATAACCCATAATCCCCCACCCCCATATGCCGTGTGTCGGGTGCCGAGTGTCGACAAACCATTCACCTTTCAAGTCAGAGCTCCCGGGGCCGCGGCCGCAGGAGCAGGATAGGGGATCAGAGAAGTGGATTAGAGGGGAGGACACAAGCAGGCGTGTGTCGCCATGCTGTCTCGAGATTCGAGATTAGAGGCGGAGGGGGGGGGAGGTGGGGATGGAAATGATAGGTGATAGAGGTGGATATGGGAGGAAGAAGGGGGTTATATACACTTTTTCCCAGGGAATGGGGATTGGTGGATATTGAGTCGGTGGAGAGGTGAGTTTGAATGGTCTGGCGTGTTTCCGTGGTGTAGATAATTTGAAGATGAATGTGGGGTCTATTGTGGCGGTGGAAACGGAATCGGTCCTTTACATGACGTGGTGGGGATCCACGGATGTGGTTTCTGTGGTTATCGTCTATGAGAAAACATGATCGTTCAATTGAATGTATCCGTATTCTATTCGTCCCCAGTGGCCACGTGGGGGCCAAAGGAAGTCGAGTTACGTTAGAGTAGAGTACAGGACCCTACGAATAAACCGAGATGCAATTGAATCTGCGCTGAGCATGAGGACCTGTCGTGCCTTGTAAACGATGTCGTGATGATGTAGATGGGGCACTAAAAGTTGTTGCTAGATATCACAGTATCCGTGTATTCGGTATTCAAACCACAATCTATCACATTGCATCGAAACCTCCAACTATAACAACCATGAAAGCCCCATTCGGCAAACAAACACCATGAGCCCTCTTCATATCTTCACCAACTCGTTCAACACTCACAGCAATATGTTCATCCATGACAACACTCAACCCTCAATCCTCAAAACTCACGGCAAGGAGTAAATAAGACGAGATATCCCAATCTTTCCAAAAACCAACCTCAATAAGTACTGCAACTATTGATCACCAAAAAAAAAAAGAGTTTTTACAACACAGCACAACAAAACCAACAAAAACCGATATGAAATTAAAAAAGAAACAATACAAAAATGCATCGCTCATCTTTAGTAACCGCAAGTAAAAACAGACAAAAACAAGATACAACAAGACAAGACAAAACAAGGCAAGAGATGAGAGGCAGAACGAAAAAAACACAGTCATGACGGGAATATAGTTACGCTTTGAACCGTCGATGCCGGAAAGCTTCAACAGTGTTTAAGGAGGTAGTAATAGTAGTGAGCATACATGAACCGAGATATCAGAGGGCTAAAGAACACAGAATAAAAAAAATAAAAAAAGGTAAAGAAAAAAGACAATAAAAACGCAATAATCGCCCAACTCCGCAACCGCAACCACAACCACATCTACTCCTTCCTCTCTCTACCCCCATGGTCTACCAGATCACGCCTCATGCCGAGTTAAACTGACTCTTCTGGAAGCTCTCAATCGTGATATCACCCGCCTTCCCCTGCAACGCGGCCTTGGCACTCTCACTCGTCAACGACATGGTCCTCGACTCGGTTCCCGCGGCGATCTGCTTCAGATCCTTCCTCACGATACTCTCAAGATACGGAGACGGGAGGTATCCGACTCTCGAGTCTCTAGCGCGGCAACGCCACCACTGGCTTGGATTGCCCATGGGGTCAGCCTTGCTGAGGACAGCAACGAGATCACCCTTCTTGACCTCCAATTCCACGCCGTTGGGTTGCTCGGGTGTGAAATCGAACATGACACGGCAGAACTCGAGTTGTGATGGGTCGGTAACGACTTCGCCGGCACGACGACGGTCGGCTTCTTCTTGCTTGGCCGCGAGGGATTTGATGAGTTTGCCCATGAGGTAGGGGAGACCGAAGACGGCGACGACGAAGAAGATGAAGGGCTTCTTAGACGGTCTTGGGGCTCCGGCAGCGCCGGGGCGGCCCTCGAAGTGGGCAAAGTTCGCGGCGGTGAGGTCGGCGGCTGAGGCGGGGAGAGGGCGGCCGGTGAGTTTGGCAGCCAGAGTACGGGCCCAGCGGATGATGGTGAAGATTCCGAGGATGGAACCGAGAGTATTCTTCAAGTTTCCGAATTGCTCTGCAACCCGAACCATGGCTGTGATAATTGTTAGCAATCTATTCTTCACAATCCATATTCGCCATGTGAAAGCAGATGCGAACAAACAGATAAGGGATATTCATGTGAACGATGCAACATAACACAAGGATAAACATACCGAAAAACGACGAGTGCGTGGCCATGTATGTGCTCTCAAGCATTTGTGCGAATCCACCAAAGGCCTGCACGATGCTCTCGATCATCTGAAATGTCGTCGCGGTGGACGCTTCCATGCCTCGCATGAAGCTGTTGGGATCATTGGGATCTCCTCCCATTGGATATCCACCGTATCCTCCCATCCCACCCATTCCTCCATACCCACCGTACGAGCCCATCCCTCCATACATGCCGCCCATGCCGTAGCGAGAGTACGGCGACGTATAGGAGCTGTACCCGCCCATAGTCCCATAGGACCCGTAGGTCGACCCGAGTCCAGTGTTCATTCCGTAGGTTCCTCGGTTGAGGGACGAATAGGGGCCGACAGCACCGCTGGAGATGCTGCTAGGGAGAGGGGGGACGGCAGGAGGCGCGGTGGTCGAGGAAGGGGTAGGGGCAGTCGCAGTCGGGGCGGCAGGTGTAGAGGCGGGAGCGGTCGTTGTGGAAGACATACTGGGGAGGGCGGAAGGTAATGTAGAAGGAGTCAGGGCTAAGATGTGGAGAAGTTATTAGTTTTCTGGGGTTGCGGCTAAGGGCGAGAGCAGAAATCAGGATCGAATGGCTGGGAATCGCGCTTA